AGGAGGCAGCTGATCAATGATTCTCTCTCATCATTGATGTTTCTATCTCTTTTTCCTTCTCCCTTCCTCTCTGAAATCGATAAAAACATTTAAAAAAAAGAAAGCTTAATAATACTGAAACCTACCATAATAGCCCTATGTAAAGATTTCAAGATACTCAGCACGCATATCTAATATATTGAAATATCGCATAGGTTATTTTGCCCACACGGTTCCTCTTCTGAAGGGTTTTCTGCATTACTCTTAGGAGTTCTCTGCTTGTATACAAGCCAGCCCAGTCCACTTTCCTAACGGAAGCCCTCGTGTTTGCCGGAACTCGGCGCCTGCCTCCATGAGCCCAGACGGTTCCCGGGTAATTCCCAGGCGCAGGTGAGTCATATTCTTTGTTCTCGTACACTTTGGCACCCACCCCCACACAATGATCTGGAATGGTCTGCTCCTCCTTGCACAGTTTGTCAAATCCGCTACCACTTAATGAAATCATTAACCCGCGAGGCAGCTGCAGGCATCTGCTACTGGTGAGCCATCCACAGCATGAGGAATAAATACACGCAAACATATGACTAGATCAAGGCAAACAGGAGACGCCAAAAAGGGTGGATATATTTTTTTAATGTTTTTGTTGATTTTAGAGAGAGGAAGACATAGAAACATCAGTGATGAGAGAGAATCATGGATCGGCTGCCTCCTGCAAGCCCCGTACTGGGGATCAAGCCCGCCACCTGGGCATGTGCCCTGACCGGGAATTGAACCGGGGACCTCTCGGTTCATGGGTTGACGCTCAACTACTGAGCCACACTGGCCAGTCTAGGGCGGATATTTTCCCCTTTGGTTTAATACCAGGCCAGCGTGGGATAAAGCGCAGTTCAGAGACTGAGTTAACAACCATTTCTCCCCCCTCCGCCCCCCACCAGCCCGCTAAGTTACCCGGCCATCAACCGGTACTCCTCGTCGTCGCTGTCCTCACAGGCCTCCGCTGAAGTCAGCAACATCACGGGGCAGTCGGAGAGCTCCGACGAGGTCTTCAACATGCAGGTGCGGGACTCGCGTTCTGTCTGTTCCTGTCACGCATTTCCGCCTCCGTCCCAGGCCTGCCTCCTCTGGGCAGTGCTGCTGGGCAGAGCCTGCGACGAGACCGGGACTGGAGGGCAACTTGGAAACACTGGCCCTGGTCTCTGGGGTCTGCAGAGCTGGTCCAGCCCCACTCACTGTCAGAGACAGGGACGGCGAGGGAGAGCCCGGCGCGCCCGGTCAGCTCTGAGCCCCCCCCCTCTGGTCCGGTCTCCGCATAGCCACCTCTCAGCATCTCCACGTGGCTTTTTCCCCTATAAGGATACATTGTTTATGGGTCCATTATAAAATCTCTTCCTTAGGTATGGCCGAAAATTTCTGCAATAAAGAGTCTTTTTGCCAAAGAAAAAATATAGTTTTAGGGATTTTAGAGTTAGTGTAGCTCTTGCAGCAAAAAATTTTACTGTGGCGTTTATAACGGCTCTGTAAGGCTAAGCTGAACTTTCCTCTCCACTGTCCTTGAAAAAGAGGCCCCATTCATATTGCCAGATACATGCTTTGAACACATTTTTGGAAGAAGTGGGAAGATGCATTCTCTGCCTCTTAGAAGCACTCGCCTGCTTACGTGGCCGGTGTCCTGCTTGTCTTAGTCAGGTGGCCTGCCAGTGGTCCCCAGTCACAGAGATAGCTGGCCAGCATGAATGCTTGCCTTGGGCAGGAGTCAAAATCTCAAGTTCTTTTTCTTTTAAAAAATATTTTTTAAAATTGATTTTTAGAGAAAGGGGAAGGGAGAGGGAGAGAGAGCAAAACATGAGAGTGAGAGCAAAACATTGATGCTTCCTGCATGCCCCCTATCCCAGATCAAGCCACAACCTGGGCATGTGCCCTGACTGGGAATCGAACCAGCAACCTTTTAGTGCACAGGACGACCTCCTAGCCAAGCCACACCAGCCACGGCTCGAATTCTGGATTAATTCAGACAGGTCTTCCTATCAGTTCGAGTCAGTCAGATTTTTCTACGCATCTAAATGGCCTTTTTCTTTGTGGTTAATTTGAAAAAAACACATCAGTGATTTTGCTTTGAACATGTCGGTGTGGCGCAGCTTCTGAGCAGCCTGTGATACAGCTTCCCTGTGTTACAGCCAAGCCCGTCTACCTCAAGCCTGAGTTCCACCCACTCTGCCTCGCCCAACGTGACCAGCTCTGCTCCATCAAGTGCCAGAGGTCAGCGCCGGGTGCGGTGGGCTGACGGGGCCCCGGGAGCCGCCCAGCGCCTGGGAGCCGGGGTGTCCGTGTCCCGATCTGTGGCCGCAGCCACGGCACTCAGCTCCCAGCTGCAGACGGTGGCGCCCCCTCACTGACCATCCTTCCTCTCTTCCAGCTTCTCCTCTCTTGTCCGACAAACACAAACATTCCCGAGAGAACGCCTGCCTGTCCCCCCGGGAGCGGCCGTGCAGCGCCATCTACCCCACACCTGTGGAGCCTTCGCAGGTAACCCTCCGGCTGGGACCCTAGAAGACAAGGAGGAGTCTGGAATGGCTCACATGTCCCCAAAGAAACACGGTGGCTGCCAGAGGCAACCCGTGGGCTGCGTTAGATGGCGCGTCCCGCCTGCAGGGGCCAGGGAACCGGGGTCTGCGCCTGTCGGAGGGAATTTCCGCCCAGCCACTTCCTCAGCAGACACATGGTTGTTGCCTGAGAGTAAAGCCGAGAGGGAAGCGAGGAATGGTTCCCCTCTCTGATCTGACTCTGCATTTCTTTTTTTCTTTTTAAAATACGTTTTTATTGAGTTCAGAGAGAGGAAGGGAAAAGAAGAGAGAAAGAGAAAGAGACATTGATTTGTTGTTCCACTTATTGATACGTTGATTGGTTGATCCTTGTATGTGCCCTGACTGGGGAGCGAACCCGCAACCTTGGCGTATTGGGAGGATGCTCTACCCAACTGAGCAGCCCGGCCAGGGCAGCACTTGTATCTCTAAAGAGCACCACAGCCTATCTGCTACTTACCATTTGTTTTTTCCTACATTTTATTGTGAAAAGTTACTTACCATTTTTATTTAAAATCTAAGCCGAACTTTTGAAACACTGTGTTCTCTTTGTCAAAACCTAAGGCTCTTCCCTTTTTTCCCCTTACATATAATTAATTCTTTGTTCCTAGGGACCTCCGATATCATACAAAATATTGTTTTGAACAAAAAGTTTCCATAATGAGATCATCCTCTCATTTTCTAGAAGGTCCCCCAAGTCAGCCTGTCACCCCATAACCACAGATCCTTGTGCCTTCCAGAGGCTGCTGTTCAATCACATTGGAGACGGAGCCATGCCGCGCAGCGACCCAAACCTGTCCGCACCTGAGAAAGGTAGGCGGCGGCAGCGTCAGCCCTGGACTGTGTGTGGGCCTGTCTGTCCTCATTGCTCGTCTCCATGTGTCTGTGTGGAAGGCATGTCTCAGGCCTGGAGGATCAGGAACAAGGTGCCCTGTAGGGGATAAACAAAGACAGTCGCTCATGATGCGGTCTTTGAACGCTGTCTTTCTGTCGGGTTTAACAGCAGAGCCTGAGCCAGTTAGGGACTCCTCTGGGAAGTGGCTTTTCCGTGAGTCCCTGAGGCCAGCCCTGCCTTCCTGCGACGGAGAGGCCCATGAGGCTGCATGCTCCGCACA